TCCCATTTTCCTGCAGGCCCCTTCTCTTCCCAGGCCCTATGTGGAGCTGCCCTAATCAAGGTTAACAAGAGCAAGGACAGCATAGGCAGCCTCCCCAGCAGCTGGAAAGGGGCTTGCTTCCAATGGCCCACAACAGATTAGCACTCTGAACAGCAGTTGGGAGGGGTGGGTGGCGGGAAGATGCTGAGATCTAAAGGGGATTAAAGAGGGCACTCCTGCAGCCTTGGTAATAGGTCTGTCCCCAGAAGTCTGAAAAAGGAGTGTTAAAGACGAGGATCTTCTTCCTTTCCCTCCAAGATGAGAGTAGCCTGGCAAAGTCCAGGGAGATAACAGGAGACGGCTATACTAAAAGATCAGATGCACAGAGAGGGAGGAGATGCTGTGTGTCAGATCTAGCATTTGGTCAAATTCTTCCATTTTCCTCTGGACTTGGTGCTCTGACACAAGAAAGCCCAAACTCCCTTCCAAGCAAACTACATCTTAAGCTTGGTGTAGCTCCCAACCCCTGGGCCAAGGCATGGATCCCACTGGTGGAAGAACAAGTGTCTATCAGAAAAGTAATTTTTAAGAGTGCTTGGTCCCTTATTACTAACATAATGTTCACACATGGATTCGTTCTCTCAGTGTCAAATGCTTCAACGTCACTCTTATAAACTGGTGAGGAAGATTTCTGCAGGGAAGGAGTGAGATGCTGTTATAGAATGTGTCTAACTTCTGCCCATCATGCCAGACCTCCTATCCTGATAGCCCCTTGGTCGGTGTATATAGGTCAAGCTCTCACCACTTCCTTGGCACCGATCTCTTTTACATTCTTGATATCAGTAAGCCTGTATCATTCCAGTTCTCCTGATCAATGAAACAGGGTAGAGCTGGTGTAACAGAGAAGTGAGCATGCGGTCTGGAAGTCCCTGGTATACAGTTACAGTTGCTAAATGTTGCTGTTGCTGCTCATGACTACATATTAGCCAAAACACACTTGACAGAATCTCCTTAGGTGGAGGGCTCCTTAAACCACAGAATCCACATCTCACAGAATGTTACTTTATGCACCCCGTTCCCTATCTCACACACACAGTGGGATGACTAAGAAACATTTTCCTTTGTCTACTTTCCAAAGTCCAACTCCTAAACGGCATTGAGGAGAGAGTAGACAATTTGACAAGCAAGACCACAATCTATGGGGCTTAGCACACACATCGATATCACTAGCATAAGGCCAGCTAGCCACCTCCCCAAGACGTGGCCTTTAGTTTTCTGCCCACAACCAAAACAGCAGCAGCTGTTGCNCCCCCCCCCCCCAAAAAAAAATCACTCCATATTAGATCTCCTATTTCTTTGGATGGCTTGGAATAAGAAAGAAATAGTAGTTACAACACTCAAATAATGCCCTACTTATGTTTCCTTTACTGAAGCGTAAGCTCCTCACAGGCTCCTCCCATTTTCCTGCAGGCCCCTTCTCTTCCCAGGCCCTATGTGGAGCTGCCCTAATCAAGG